GTTTTAAAAGCAATATTTCTGTTTACTTACTTTTTAAAATTTTCTTGTCATAGATGTAAAAGATGCCTTGAGTTAATTGACAAATAGTGATATGTCTGGTGATAATATGTAATAATGTGTTTCTCTATCAGAAACATAGTTATATGGCTAGATTTACTAGACTTCTTTGAACTGTACTCCTACACAGATTTCCTTGATTGTATACATTTCTAGCACCAGTAATGTGAACTGCCACTCATTGGCATCCTTTGTAAACTCTAATATTTCAAGATAGCTTAATTTTCACCAGTCTTATTCTTCTGAAATGATTTGTAATTGTCATGTTAATTCACATTTTTCCTGCATTTGAGATACATTCATATCAAAAAATGTTTGAAATGTATAAGAAGTAAATATGGATGTTGATGTCCTTGCTTATCATTTATTTATCTTGTAGTTCAGTGGGAAGGAGTTCAGTGGGAAGGAAAATCCAGGCTAGAAAAAAAGAGCAGAAAATAATAGAAAACATCCTTAGACAACTGCCATCAAAAAGTCTTTATCACAGAGGTAGAGAAAGGGGGCTTTGAGTCATGTAAGTGATTCTAAATCATGCTCAAACAGGAAATCATATTTCATGCCTAATAGAGCTTGGAGTGAAAGAAAAACCAGATGTATAGTTCACTGATACACTATGCTAAAGCCAAACTCACTTTCTTCATAGTCAAGCAGCTAATTTTAAATACTTGGACATAAACCTAATTTTGTAGAGTTTAATCAATTTGAGTCTACCTTTTCACGATCAATCAGGCTTGTGCACCAGGATACCAGAGTAAAAGAAAAATTGACAAGGATGATGCTGATGTAGAAATAAAGCCTCAGGAAGGGCCGTGGAAGAGGAGTTGGAAATTCCTAATCTTTTCATTGGAAAGAAGAGAATATTAAGAGTAATGGAGAATGTAGCTAAAGATGTGAATCTCTAGAATGATGCAGTAATCTTTAGAATGATCTATAATGAACTACTTAGGCGTGTTATCTGTCATTCAGATCTGTTGCTTTACCTTCGCCTCATACTTTGCATCTGTTATAATTCAAAGTTTGGAATTAATTGCAGAATACAGAAAAGAAACAAAAGTTGAATGTAGACATTTGGAAGGTGATTTTATTATGGATTCAGGAAGAGGGCTACTGCCCCAGAAGATATACGCTAGAAATTGAAGTTGTTTTCTTCATTGGCCTGGACAACTCTCGTAGGGACTATAAGAATCTCCTGAGAGGGCAGATAAAAATAGTTAGTTCTTTCACTGACCTTTGAAGACACATTTGATGAGGTGATAACAGCCAGAGAGAGGAAAGAGATTGTTTTATATAAAATAAATTAAAATTAGGATGAATAGCAAACTAACTTTCAGAATGTAAATGCTTAATTGAGATGAAAAACAATCCTCTTGGAAGAAGACTGATAAAGAGCTACGTGTCTGAATCTTTGGGAATGTATGGGTTATAATATGCTGCAATAAATTGATGTCTTTGACAATAAGGTGATAATTTATAATCCTTTAGTAGAGTTTAATTTTTCATAAAGAGAAATGAAGCAAGATTAAAATGAATATGAGTTATTCAGTGACTTGGGCAGCATATCATGAATATATGTGATAATTGTGAGGAACACACGAGGCAGAGACCAACTGAGACTACTGGGCTTATGTAAAGGCAACTGGCATGGAATTTCTTGTGCCTGCATGCAAGGCAGACAGAGAGTGAAAGACTGTCTGTCTGGATTAAAGGGAAGCAAGCCCCCTGCACAGGGACAGAAAGAAGGCAAAACTTGTTAGGTGGGAAGAGTCAAATAAACATCTGTGATCAAACTTTTCTGGTAGTATTTTACCTCAGTGGGAGGAGTCCTGGAAGTCTCCAGATGTCCAGGGACCTGAAGAATTCCTTGTTGTATCTCCTTTATGTCATCCTGTGTTGCCAATGGCAGTGTCAAGGCTGAGCTGAGATCCCTGCTGAGAACAGTGTCTCTGCTGGCAGTCGGGTTGGGAGGCTGCCAGAGTCACATTCAATTTGAGCCTTATAATAATTTAAATGGAAAAGAAAGAACATGAACTGAATAATCAATCACAAATATAAATGTTTATGACCTTGAATAAACCAAAAATTGACTTTGGGATTCCACATTTTGTCTTAGTGATTTCAATGTTCATTCAGATGAAGAAATGGAGTAAGACAGCAGCTGAGTAAGACCTACTGGTGATTAGTTCCATACAGGTGTACCAAAGGCACCAGTATTTACTAAGCAAACTACCATGATAAAAAATAAGTAAGGTAAGAGGTTGTGTCTTGTTTTAGTACAACAAGGTGAAAGATGTATTTAAAAAGATAAGAAGAGCTGCTTATATCACTTCTTCTCCAACTTCAAGCCATAGAGAGAGAGATGCCTCCTGCTTGGAAAGGAAAAGACAAGACCAAGTTGTAGACTTACAACCCAGAACAGGCCTGCCACAGATGACACTAACACTGGAAAAAGCCTCACAACCCCTACTATTAGGACAGTATCTACAGACTGGCCAGCTGAACTGGCCAGTTCAGACAATTTGCTATCTGCTTCTATGACTTCTTCTCCAAATGTGGGCAAGCTACCTAACGGAAGGTAAGACTTACCTATAGGGGATAGGATTTTTAAAAATAGCACAAGACTTTGGCTTGGAGCTCAATATCAGCTCTGCCAAAGTGAGAACAAATGCCCTGAGAAACTAAAAGTATTATACATGGCTAAGAGCTCAGTCAGAGCCCCTCAACACACGGCCACACCAGGAAGAAATCTGACCACACTGAATTATTTCATTTCTTGGAGTGGGCTTCAGAACAGAGATCTCTTCTCAAGACCAAATAGGTACCAGCGGCTGTGAGACTCAGATATGACTCAAATTATAATTAACCTAGTACCCAAAAGACTTATCTCTATCTCCAGTCCTGGATGCAGTATAGCTGTGAGCCACACCAGAACTCACAGGCAGGGATCCTGAATAGCACAGCACCAAGGAAAGTGCCGCAGTTCAGTGGGATGCACTTGTGCCTGGCCTGTACCCTTGCCAGCTATACCAAGGATCTCAGGACACCCCTGAGCCTGGTTGGCATTTGGAGCTGTGAGACTCAGGTGAAACATAGTTTAACATCTGACTAGGAGGCAAACAGTCTGACTTTATCAATAGTGTACTAACCACAGGAAGCATAATGTGATGCATAATGTACTAAAATAAGGCTTTTCTCTGCAAGTTGGTGACCTCATAAAACCAAAAACTTGGAAAATGGTAAATCCTGACAGCTCTGATTCTGAGGTTTGTATGATTAGATTAATTTACAGTCATTTCAAAATAGTTATTGTAAGCTTCAGGGTAAGTCACAAAGCAAAATGTTTTATAAACAATAAGAGTAATCAAAAGAAAAAAAAGTTTCTGACATTGCCAGTTAAACAGAAGACCCAATGCTATTAGGGGCTACTGGACTCTTTTAGAATATTTTGCTGAGTTTACACACCTATAATATTCAATAAGGGAACTTAGAAAAAATGGGGTATAATGATGAATGTCCATTTTGTATCTGTGTATTCAAAGTGGTTAGGATAGATATATAGTTGCATTCTCTTAATGAATAGAATGATTTGTTCTAATGGTGTTTGTAAATAGGATCTCAAGTCCGCATCTTGTACAGCAATTAACCACTAAGAAGAATATATGCAGTGTGTTATTTGTTGAAACTGTACTTCCGATTTGATTTGAAACTGTCTCATTGCTATCTGTTTATCAATAAAATTTTGAAAAATAAAAAGAAAATATTCTGCTGCAGAATACAAAAAAAACCAATAAGAGTAATCAAAATACACTACTGTACTAGAATAAATCACATAATCCAAACATTGACTATAAGAGAGAGAAAGGAACTGCAACTAGTTAGAAAAAAATTAAAATAGCTATAGTAAGACCCTACCTATTCATAATTACTTTGACTGTACCAGACTAAATACTTAAATGAAAGACATAGAGTGAGAAAGTAGATAAATAAACCAGAGCAATAATATGTTGCTGTGGCCAGGGAGATGGCTCAGTAGAATAAGCTCTCACCTGGCAAGTGCAAGGGTCTGAGTTCAATCCTCGGTTCTGAAAAAAAAAAAAAAAAGACCTAATAATATGTTGCTTACAAGACCTCACTAGACCTGCACCTCTAGAGACACAAATAGAATAAAAGTCAAGGAACTGAACAGCATAGTCTACATCAATGGAATGCAAATAAAATCAGTAATAAGTGTATGTATATCAGATTAAGTAGACTAAGTCCAAGGCAGTAAAGAGACAAGTGAGGTCATTATATAGTGATTAAGGGATCAATTCAGCAAAGGAAAATATTTATAAACAAAAATACATCAGGGAAGTCAAATTTATAAAATACGGATACATATTTATAAAACTAAAGGGAGACATAATCCCCAAAACATAAATAGTAGGGGACTGTAACAATCTATGTTACCAATAGACAAATCAAACAGGATATCAACAAAAACACTATAGAATTAAATTGCACACAAGGCCAATGAAACTGACAGATATCTATAGAATATCTCATCAAACATGAATCTTCTCTGGGATGGATCGTATGATAGTACATGGAACAATTCTCCAAATATTAAAAATTGAAATCCTATCAATAATCTTGATCCAATACAATAGAATTAGAAATCAATGACAAGAAAAACTTGAAAAAATATGCAAATACCTGAAGTCAAACAACTATACAACTACATGCAAGTTGATTGTTCTTTGAACAACTGATGAACAAAAGGAACAAATAGAAGGAAATTTACAAAAAACTTAAAACAAATTAAAAGGGAGACAAAGTACACCAAAAACTATGGGACACAACACCAGCAGTACTATGAAGGAAATTTAAAACAATCAATAAAATACAAAGATAACAATTAAGAATGTTTCTATTGGAATCATTGGTGAAGACTTGGAGTTCACAATCTATGCTGATGGTGAAGTGTCTCCATTCCTGGAAGGTCTTGAAGAAAGACCCCAGAAAAAGGCACAGCCTGCATAACCTGTGGGTGAACCTGCAGAACAAGCTGATGAACCAATGGAACATTAATAAGCCAGCCTCTGTGTGTATCATCAAATATGTAAGAACACAGGAGTACATACTGATGACAGTAATCTATACTCTGAACCAAAAGGTGCAGAGTGTGGAGTGGTATGTTTTAGGAATCAGTCCAGATATGTTTTTCCAACCAACTTCCCTGAAACCGTATAATGAGATGTAGTTTTCCTTAACGGGGTCTGCATAACCATTTTCTAGATTATCTATTTCACAGGTATATCAATGGTTTTACATGAAGAAAATAGTGTCTTTGCAGTTTTTGTTTTTGTTCTTTTTTGCGGTAGTGGATTGAACTCAGTATCCTGCACTTGTCAGGCAAGCGCTTATTCTACTGAGCTATCTCCCTGGGCCCTGTCTTTGCAGTTTTAAAGACAACTGGGAAATAAAACTGTTTCACTTCAATAAATAAATAAATAAATAAATAAATAAATAAAACACAAAGATCTCACATAAACAGAGTTTTGTTGCACAATAACAAGGATCTAAATCCAAAATTAGTACAAAGGCACTGAGTTCAATCCCTGGTATCACAAAAAAAAAAAAAAAAA